CCTTTATCTCATATGATGTAATAATAAAATAGTTTAATAAATTAATATTATAATATTAAAGTAAAAATTCTAATTTTAATTTACTTTCGCTTGGCTATTTTCGTATAACCACTTTCGTGTAATCACTTTTACTTATAAATTTCGATTGATCATTTTGCTTGACCATTTCGCATAACTATTTTCACTTTACCACTTACACATATTATCACTTATACTTGATACGACTTACATACGCTTAATATTTACACTTGATACCACTTAATATAACTTACATTTGATATCACACGCTTAATATTTACACTTGATACCACTTAAAATATAACCTACATTTGATATCACATGCTTAATACTTACACTTGATACTACTTAATATAACTTATATTTAATAAAGCTTACAAAAAGTCAAGCATACATGATATTTCTTGATTGGGATAGTACGATAAATGAAGTTGATATTAGTAACGATGTACAGTATACCGGTAATACAACAAACCCTGAAAATACCTACCACAAACTTCTAGTGAATACAACGCTACCCGGGTGGAGTAATATGGTTAATGGGGTCAATACACTATATGAAAATAATCAATTTGAATTTGGAGAGAATCAAAATAAAAATAATTTTGTAGTAAATTCAGAGGCTTACCAGGAAAAATTTCAGGCGGATACAACTTTTTGTGAGTAGGATTATGTGGATAATAGACTTGATGCACTATATAATAGTAATCACGCTGAACATGACATTAGTAATATATTACATCAAATAGCATATGAAGGGAATGACATGGAGAATTTTGAAAACAATCGATACTATGAGTTACAAGTAGGTATGGTGTTTCTTGACTGGAATCATGCTATAAGTGAAATTAAAAAGTATGAAAAAAGACAGGGTCTAAAACACGTTGTTATTGTATTGAAAAGTTAAAGAATGGTGATATTCGAAGACGTACTATGGTTTGTGAACACTTTGGACAGCCTGAAATGACAAAAAGTAAGGATCCAAAAAAAGAGACAACAACTAAGCGGATTGGGTGTACGTGGCAAATAAATCTGTCATACCCTGAGAAAGAAAATCCTAATAAAATTGTATACATTGCAAAATTAATTAATGAACATAAAAATCATGATCTTAACCAAGCTCGCTACAACTTTCAGAAAAATATAGCATTTACAAAGGAGATGATTGATGATGTTGAGTTCTTTGTGACAAAGATGAATTGTAGCCCCAACAAATTCATAAAGCTCTTGAAGAGAAATATTTTGTAAAAGTCTATATGCCAATACTACGACAAGTAATTCAACGATTTCGCCCAAAATTACGGGATCAGACAAATGATATTAGTAAATTGTATCAAAAAATATTGAATAAGAAAGAAGTTGATCCCCAATGGTATGTCCAGGTGGATTGGGACCCTAATAGTATATGTCTTCGGTGATTATTCTATATGTCTTCTAATTAAATTGAATGATGGCTAAAATTTGGCGACATTGTTCTAAATGTTAATACAAGTGCAACTAATCGTTATGAGATGGCATTGTTGCTTTTTTTGGTAGTTGATAATCATCTATCTTCTCGACTGGTAGCCTAGGCATTAACAGATGACGAAACAAAAGAGACACATAAATAGATATTATAGCAAATTAAAGAAGCAACACAAGAATCAGCACCACAAGTTATTTTTACTGATGCTGACCCTGCTTTAATTGCTGCAATACATGATGAGTTTCCAACTACAAACGCTCTTAATTGCATGTTTCATATTGCACAAAATATTCCTTTAAATCTAAAAAATCATCTTAAAGACAATTATGATGAGTTTATAAGAGATTTCTTTGAAGTACAACGAATTAACTTCATTACTATGTTCGAATATAAGTAGAAATGCCTACTTGAAAAATATAGTAATGAAAATGTGGTTAATTATTTGCAACGGCTTTATGTTAATAAAGAATCATGGGCAAAATCATTTGTACTTAAATTATTTACTGCGGGGATGACATCCACTTTTCGAGTTGAAAGCTATAATTCAAAGGTCAAAAGATTAATATTTAATTCCAACACAACTATATTAGAACTTGCAGAAAAATTATCAATGTGCATTCTTGAAGAAGATAAAAAAACAGAATACTTATTATTTCGTGTGTCAGTTCCTAAAGCGGCTCTAGTTGCGACAGCTGATACTATTCTTCCAAATATTTGCAACATGCTACGCAAGTACTTAACTGTAGAAGTATTGAGAATTCAAGAAGATTAAATTAAACAATTGCTTCAATATCATGCTATGATAGTGACTCAAAATAAGCTACAAAGATATATTACTGTAAGTAGTAGTTGGGCATTAGTTAGGGCATCACACCCTATTACTACATATTAACACTATGTATTCCTGTATTCTGCAGATAAATCTTAATGATCCTACCTTATTTAGTAAAAATCAAAATCTTGATATAATTGCAAGGTCAATGCTTGATTTGGTTGATTTGAACAAGGATGTTGAAATGTGGAGAGTCCATCGTGTTATATCAAATGAAATACAACATTTTGTAATACTCCTAAATGATAGAACATATTTATATTCTTGCTTTGATCATTGCAACCGTGGGATTGATTGTCGTCATTACTTTCAGGTAATGTTATGTACACGAGCTGCAACATTCCATATTCAGCTTATTAGGTTACAGTAGTACAATGAAACAAGCAGTAATCCAGCGCAGGAATCATTTCTAGTTGCACAAAAGTTTGATATGGAACAATCAGTGACAATAGGCTAGAATAGATCAGTTCCTCATCTTAATACTTTAATTCAAGGCTCAGTATATGAAATGCAGGATATAAACCGCAAGACTATAGATGAGCGTAAGTTGTATAGTGAAGCATGGGGCAAGGCAAGGGCAGCTTTAGCAGTAGCTATTAGAAGACGTGATTATAACTTTATCGGTATTCTTGATAAATATTTGAATGATTGCTAGGGAGTACTATCTTCTAATAGTGATAGTGATGTTTCTTCAGATAGTGAAATTGAAGCAGGTAGTAAAATTAGTAATGAGAAGTTGGATCCAAAAGAGTTGATGAATTCTTATAAGCCTAAAGCCAAAGATAGGCCTAAGAGAACTGACAGAATACAACGTGCATGTGAGCTACCAAAAAAGACAAAGCACAAATTGCATTGTAAAATTTGTAGTGGTACTGGCCATAACCGGGTGACTTGTTCTCAAAGATAATAATTGTTAGTGAAACATCAAATATTGATTATTGTTGTAAGCGATTGGCAAATCTATACTATTAAAGACTAATTGTCAAATTGTTTTTCAAATTCGTAATCAATTTCTAGTTTTTTTTTTTGGCATTAAGTTGCTTGATTGATACAAATAGTGAAATGTTAAAATATAAAGTTACATGTATCAATCTAAAAATTTCATTGAATGTAACGCATAAAGTAAACCAATATAAAATTGTTTATTTACTCAACATTGTTTATAAAAGCGCTTTCTCTAAGAGTAAAATATTTATATTGTTATATAGTGTTAATTTGAAAAATAGTAACATTAGTTCAATGACAAAATCCCAAGACAGATTCTGAAAAGACATAATATCGACAAAGTTAGCTTGCATTAGTTATAATACTAGCTAATTTAGTCAGTATTATATCTTTTCGGAGAATTTGTTCTTCGGGATTTTATAATAGAATTATATTAAGTACGTATAAATCAGTTAGTTATTATCTTACAAATAAAATTTTCACATGCTTAGCAAATTTCTTAAGTTTGTTTATGTGTAGTATTTTATAAGCACTAAATCATGAGTTAGAATTCGTATGTATTAGGGTTAGATAAATGTATATAATTTGCTTAACAAATTAAATTCATTCCCACATGTGACTAATGACAAAATTGTTACGTTAGGACTGAGTTAGGGTAAGTAGCTAGCATAAATAGGTTAAAATTAGAAAAGTGCTATATGTAAAATTGTCTTCTTGACATTTTTACTTATTGTATTAAAGTGGGTTTAGACACTCGTTTTTTGTATTTTTCCTATTTTTTACTTTTTTTGCTTCGCAGGGCTGATTTGTGTAAACAAAAATTTGATAAAACCAATATCAATATCAATACAGGATAATTTGAAGCCTCTGGATTATTTATGTTGCACATTATTAAATTAGAAAATTTGAATGATCGAAAATTCATGTTTAGATTCTTCAATTCTGAGCCGAGTAGCTTTGTACAAAATTTCCGGTATTTGAATCTGCTTTTTTTCTAGCAATACTTTTTCTAATCAGAACTTAGAAGCTATAGGATGTATTAATTTTTAATGCAGTGATACTATCAAAGAGAGTTAGGGTCTGGATTTAGGTATTATATAGTAAAATCGCTTAAAAAAGGGGTTTCTTATGCAAATTTTGAAAAATAAGTGATTTTTGACAAAAGAGATGTTTTGTTTCTGATACAAATTTGTGTTCTGTTATTGGCTAATAATCACGTGAAGGTGAATTTTAATTGGGGATTGCTACGGACACAGCTCTATCGATATAGCTAATGACCAGTACTAACCTTAATGACACAGCATAGCCTGCATTATAGTTAAGGTTAGGGTTAGAATATGGCAGAATTAGGAAAATTATATCATGTGTTGCTGTATCCATACAATTTCCTTTTGGAAAAGCTACGGATACAATATTTACGTGACTTATAGACACAACATTGGCCAAAGTTAGGGTTAAATTAGGGTTAGAGTTAGTAATGCTGGTCATTTTTGTGTCCATAAGCACGTGAATGTTGTGTCTGTAGCAACAGCCTTTCCTTTTAATTGTGCAGTATCACGTGATTATACATTTTGGTATACTGTATATATATTTTATATATTGTTATATATAAATATTGTATATAAATAAATATAAAAATTATTAACAGTACTATAGCATTGTGTTGATATAGCACTACAATGCTATAGCGCTATAAAATAAATCCCTTAATTTAATAATAATAATAATAATATAAACTTTGAAATTTGTAAATTTAAAATTTTATATTGTTTTATAGCAAAATAAATAGTTGCAAAGGCTGCAACTAAATCTAACAATGTATAAAAATACAACTTTATAGTAGATATCTCTAACTAAGTGATATTAAAAAAAACTAAACTTCAAATATTTAAATTTATAACTTACTAGACCAAATTATTCAGATTTTTTAGATATTAACTTTAGAAATTATAAATTTAAAGACCTAAGACTTGGTTTTTCTTTAATATTATTCATATAAATTGTATTAAAATTTATAAATTATATAATATCTTATGTAATACTAATAAAAACTAGCAAATATTGATATATAATTACAAGGTTTGCTTGTAGCTAAAATATTACAGAAGTAGCAAATAACTACTAATTTTATTTTTTTCTTAGTAGATAATTTAATTTTTTTCTAGTATTTTAACAATTTATTAACTATTTAAGCAAGATAATTACTTATTTTATATAACTTGGTTTTTGTAAATTTTGATAAAAACCAAGATATAATATATTTTCTTATTTAAATCTCTTTTCTTAGAAAGATTGTATATTGTATTATATCATATAACTACAATATACTATTGTTTCAAATAGCTAGATCTAGTCAAGATTAATTATAAATTTTAAATAAAAATCTGCAATTTCTCATATAAAGAATTAAGAATTTAGTATATTAAATTGTGACAAAAATTCTTTTAAATTTCACTATCAAAATATTAAATATATATATATATTTTTTTTTACTTAGACAAATTGCACTAGTATCTTTATTTAATAAAAACTGAATCTGTGAAAATATCATAATATTAAATATCTAGATCTAACATCCTGCGGTTAACTCGCATAATCTAACTTGTTATCTACATGCATCTACAGATAACCTAACTGCACTGGCGAGATACGATCAATTAAGATAATACTCTAACTGAGGGCTTGTCTGATCACTGCCCTACAATATAATATTGCCAATCTGATGACATCTGCTTGTAGGGAAAGAAAAGATTTTAAAACTAACACAGAGGTATAGGGAATATATAAAAAAAACAAATACAAGAAAAGAAATGGGAAAAGGGAAGAACAAAAAAACTAAACTAAATATAGGATTTTTCACCTACACTAGATAGTCACAATTATAAGCCTGTGTCAAGCTCTTTAAAAATTATATACTACTATCTAAACTATTCTCTACACAAATTTGTATACATAGTATGTCTAAACTTAAAATCTAAAAAAACAAAGAAAGAGAAAAAGTTTCATCAATATCAGCACTATAAAGAAGTTGGAAATTCGCACTGTTGGGCTCAGAGCATCATTTGTTTAGGTTGCCATATTTGAGGCACATAATCCAGTTATCTACATCTTTGCATCTACATGTTTGTTGTGATAGATAATAATATAAACAATACTGTTCGATTTGGTAAATAAAC